GGAAACCTCCTGCTTTCTACTCTAGACGTTTACAACCTGCCGAAAGCAAGTACAGCACGTTCAGGGGCGAACTGACGGCCGTTTACTCTACTTATCGACATTTCCGTCAGGTCCTTGAAGGTAACACCTTCATTAGCTTCACCGAGCACGAGCTGCTTATCTACGCATTCCGAAATCAATCAGCTAGACACTCACCACGTGGGATTTGTCAGATGTATTTCCTTGCCCAATTCGCGGCTGATACCCGACACACTGCTGGTCAACAAAATATCGTCGCTGACGCGATTCCAAGAATACCTGCGGTCGGCCCTGCTGGGCAGGTAATCGATTTCTCTGCTATGGCCGCCGCGCAATCAAATGACCAAAGTTGTTCGGGACCCCGTGAGGCTTCTTTTAAGATATCCCCGCAACCTTTGCCGTCAGCCATGGTAAAATTTTATGCGAAACATATACCTGACGACCTAGACGCGTCGTTCCAGAAACTTTTGGCCGTATCTTTTCGACACCATCTACAATATCGCCCGACCTTGAATTAAATCTACTGCAAAGATTGTCTCAGAGAGATACGCCTTGGATGCAACGCGACCTTAGGCGTTGCCCAACAGCTGTCTTACCTGCCAACAAGCCAACGTTCAGCGGCACGTGTCCGCTCGGCCTGGTCACTTTCCGTCCGTTTCAGCTCGATTTGCCTATGTCCATCTCGACGTAGTGGGACCTATGGCCCCGTCCAAATGAATGATCTACATTTTGACCATGATCGATAGTTACACCCGTTGGTCCGAAGCCGTTCCCATTCCTGACGTAGCTGCGGAAACCTTAACGCGAGCTTTCGTCGAGCCCTGGGTCGCTTCACACGGCTGTCCAGCCACAGTGACTACAGACGGCGGTCCGCATTTCGTACCTTCGCCCTTTAACGATCTTCTTAAACTCATTGGATGCCGGCGCATTCTCACGACCGCCTACCATCTGCAAGCGAACGGCATGGTGGATCGTTTCCACCGGCAGCTAAAAGCCTCCCTTAGCGCCACCAATGCGCTGACTTGGACTGAGGTACTTCCAATGGTCTTCCTTGGGATTCGATCGGCCCTAATGGCTGATCTACGTACGTCTAGCGCCGAGGTAGTATATGGACAACCACTACGTTTACCCGCCGATTTCTTTTCCGATAGTCCCAGAATTCCCCGTAACGATGCGAATTATGCGCGTCAGCTAGCCACGAGCATGCGTCACTACAAGCTTCCTGACGTTGGAGAACAACAACGTAAATCGTTTGTTCCACAAAACCTACAGCGTTGTCCGTTCGTTTTTCTCCGCCTCGATGGTCTCCGCAGACCGCTGGAGCGGCCCTACGATGGTTCTTCCAAGGTTCTGCAGCGTACGGAACGCGTTTTCATCATCGACCGTCACGGTAAACGAGGAGCCGCTACGTTGGACCGTCTCAAGTTTGCCCACTTGGAATCCGAGCTCGATGAAGACCCTGGCTCGTCTTCTGAAGAATCAACCCAGCCTATGATGAAAGACTCGCTTGCTTCCAGCATCCATTAACTCAAGCATCATGCTTCATCCAATCCTTCCACTTCAGCTCCGCCGCTTCCCATCGAACCAACCGCCAGGCCTGCAGCAGTTCCACCAATTTTGCGATCCGATAGGATGTCTAATACGACGCCTTCGTCTGATTCGCACCAGTCGAGTAGGTCGGGTAGACGCGTTCATTGGACAGCGCGATAAAGGGATTAATGTTCCTTTCAGATTTGTTCCTGTTTTCCTTTTCCCTTTTGGCTAACAACATACGAAAATTCCAAAAATCAGCAAAAGATTTTGAAACCGCTAAAAATAGCCGAAAAAACTTCTTTGAAAACCCAAAAAACGCAAAACGTTTTGAAAACCCTGAAAAGAAGAAAACGTCTCGAAAACACATAAAGGCGTTGCGTTTTACTTGGATCCTACCTCATCCGGTAATTGTCAAGCTTACTTCTGCCTTCGCCTCCGCCGTTACTGCACTTGTTTCTGTTTACCCTTCATGTAGGAACCGGAGGATATGACGAGCCTGGAGCGAACATTTGACCTTCACGAACTCGCAAACCATTGACACTTACGAACTTTCCCCATTTTGTGTTTTTGGCACCGTTAGGGAGGACACGGGTGGGTGCCCGCTAGGGTCCGATCGCCTAGTTCTGCCCTAGCATCTGCAGCAGCTTGCACTACCTTGTCTCGCAGAAGGCTGACCAGAAACGGACAGTCATCACGTAGATCGAAGAGCACCCACGGTTTTCTTTGCTGGCCACTAGTGGCAAGGCAAACGGTGTGAATTCAAGATGGCGAAGCTATCCGATTGGCTGCATGGACGTGATTAGAATTGCGTGGAGATGGGTATTTTCTAGTCAGCTTAACCTGAAAATGTGTGTTTGAATGCACCAATATGACGATTACCATTGGTAACCGTTGGCACAAAAATGAACGATGTCAACAAATTAGAAGGACGTTGAGTTACTATCTGGTAGGTAGAAATCACATAATATCATTGTTTCTTCTTTGGAAAAGGATGCAATAAGCTAGTATATCTCTGGCAGCTGTGAGTATCTTATTGACAGTCAAAATGATTGTTGCACTGGTGGGATCCATTTCGCATTGAGAAGGTTCTGATCGATATTCTGGAAAGCTCTGTGGTTGTATTATGATGCCTAAAAGGGTTATAGAAGTTATCAGGTTACAGTGAAATGTTAAGTAATGAAAGTAATACAGCAGCTGTCTAGACACCGTTAGATAAATCGGTTCACGACGAAGTGAAGATTTCACGGGGCCTCTCTTCTGCTCTCTACTACTCAGTGAACTCAAGGCTTAATTGCACTGACAGTTAGAAAATTAACTGTCGCCGTGAGCGGAATACATCGAGCTATCTGTAAATGTAAATGTAATTGAGGCTGTACACTTACGGGATTTATCCTATCGTTCCAATCCCACTTGAACTTGAACTTGAGGTGGTTGCTAATGAAATAAATATACAAGGTGGGAGAAGTAGGTGTTGTAAACAACTTTCATTAAATGATGCTAATGGTTGCAACACAGTACCACAGTACTAAGCACGGGCATCGAATGGATTGCTAGGATACAGATATCCTCTACGATTTCAATCGTAATTAAAGCCGAGCCGTCCTGGTATGTAGCTTACATTTATTTCTAACCGCTTGGTAGCTTCCGTAGGTTTTGTTTGATGAAGCCGTCTGGTAAATTTGGCATCACTTAGAGCTCTTCGTGAGCAGGTATTTACCGGTACGATCTATCCAAGGAGGATGCGCCGGTGTGCTCCGTATATTAATGTGAGCAGCGCACATGACTTCATGTAGAGTAACGTCACAGGGTAATAAATGGACACCTATTGCCAGCATCAGTAAGAATATACTCAATATGCCAAAACAACTAAACTGAGTAGAGGAAGTGCACACCGCAGTCCACAGGACCCCACTAGTTTTGCAAAGCAAACCTATGCCCACATGTTGAGTGTAATGGTAACAATGCAAGTCCACAGTCACTTAAAGCATATGATGAAGGAATGAACATATTGGCATGTTAGACGTTTATGGCTCACGGGCATCACAAGCCTAGTGGAGGGCATTTGGGATGAGGTGATGAGCCAGTTGCCAGGATGTAAACGGAAATTCGGAAGCTTGAGAGCAATACGGCTTCACAAGGTACATAGGTTTCTTAGCACTATAACCAAGAATGTAATTCTCGGAGCCTCAATACATATCATTACAGGCCTGTTGCACTGGTGATAAAATAGTCTAGATAGCTCACTTAGCACTAGCACCAATGGCGTAGGTCTCGGAGCCTCTATACATATCAGCACAGGCCAGTTGCACTGGTGATACAGTAGTCTACGTAGGTCTCGTAGCACTTACCACCAAGAACGTAGATCCTGGAGCCTCAATACATATCATTACAGGCCTGTTGCACTGTTGATAAAATAGCCTAGATAGCTCTCTTAGCACTAGCAGCAATGGCGTATATCTTGAAGCCTCAACACATATCAGCACAGACCTAGTGCACGGGTGATATAATAGCCTACATATGTCTTCGTCTACCCGTCCAGACAGGGTACCTAAAGCTCATTGCAAGAGCACCAAAAATGCCAATCAGTAGGCATCAATAGCTAGCTCGTTAACAGCATTGGGACAATGCGGAAATGGTGACATGCAAATGATAACAGAATTGTCAAGAAACGTATTGGCACAGATAACGTTTCCGGGATCGTTGTCGTTCAGACCCATTCAAAGTGCTCACGCAAATGTGCCGGACACGTCATATGCGTCACGTCAACACAGCGGATCACTAAGGAGTGGGGTAAAAGTAATGTACTTAAAGGAAACCATTGTGAACAAGGAATGCATGGGATTGGAGGCCCAGTTAAACAGCAATTGGGCCATTCCTGCGAGGATTACAGAGCCACCGTCCGATCCATTTACCGAATGTTCCAATCAATGCCGTCATCCGAGCAGTTGCGTCGGGTTGGCAAGAGGGAAGCACACGGCAACGAAACAGGAGGTGGCCCTAAAAAGGGCCAAGTTTGCGTTCTCACAGGCTGGCCCTTAAGCAGTTAGGCAAAGTCGTAATCATCGGCTGCAGTGGTTTAATGACAATGGCACAGAACTTACTGTCTGGCAAGCAGATCATGAAAGTGCTTCTTAAAACGGTTGTCTTTCCAGCAAAGGGTTCATTTGCAGTGGAATCCAGATCTACACTGAGGAGGATGCAGGTAACAATATATTATGACATACTCAAACGCAGGTTTGGGGATAGGCTGCAGCTCCGCCGAAGTGGTCGTCTCATTTTGTCAGCGCATAAGCATAGCGGGTGCGTCGTCCGTACTATGTGACACATATGCAAAGCTGCAGCAGGGTACCGCGTCACAACCATCCGAAGTGTCTGAGCGGAGGTGAAAAGCTATTTAAAAGCGCTTGCAAAAGCACACATGCGTAAGTAAGCTTTTTTCAGAAATTGTTTCCACGAAACCATCCTGTTCCACGCTCTGCAGGGCCTGCCGCAAATTGGCTAGCAATAATAACGTGACATTTCACCTACATGACACGGGCGAACGCAACCTGCGGCTTACATTACGGACGTCGTCTCTTGTGACGTGTTTCCCGAATGCATTCTCGATGTACTGCTTTATGTCGCACGTAGGGGTGTTGTATCGAAATAAGTCAGCAGCTTGATTGCATTCCTCTTCAGTAAGTCGCCGGTTAAGAGGGTGCCTTTCGAAAAGAAACCGGTTGCATGGATGGTTGTGTGAGAGCTGGAACGTTAGCACCTTTAGCTTACGGCCATCCAGAGCAACATTGACAAGAGCACTGCAATCGGTGTCTCGAGAACTAAATTGGACGGTTAACAACATTATAAACCATATACTAGACTCGCCGTATTCCTTTGCTCCTTGTTTTCCGGCGCTTACAGCGCAGGCATTTATAAACGATGCGATCATACCTCACAGCAAACAAAATTGACGTTGTTCCGATGCGTAAATGACGTAAACAGGGAATAGAATTCATCAAAGCTATGAAACGGATGTCCAACAAAGGTGCCCCCAAAGTCAGCCCCCATGGTTGCAATGCGAAATAACAGCCAAATATGACCTCTTACATTAGACCTCACTTAAAGTAGCGACTAAACTCATGTGCATAGATATCAACCGTTTTTTGAAAAATACCAGACATAGTCGTATTTTAAGCTTTAAAATTGATGCAACTTATTTTTTTATGGCCCACATTTCTTGCAGTTCTATGGTTGCCACTACGTGACACCGTTTTCATTCTAGTAGGGGCTGTGTAGTTAACCGGCGATACCAACGTCTGACTGTGTCAACTATTCTAACATATATTAAAAGTATAGCTTTCTTATGTATTAGGGAATTACGCGGTTTGATTGTTGTAAAGTTGTTCCCGTTTTTTGGAAACACAAACACGATCTCCTCCTTTGGCGCGCGACTCGACTGTAAACGACACTAAGTCGGCGCACTCGACGCCAACTACATTCTCACTAGCTAGCACACCAACGGTGCCCTATATTTAGCATTAGCCAACTCTTATCCTATCCAATAAACTTTTCCCTATAGCTTGGAACATATTTGGAACCGACCGGGAAGCCATCATTTCAGAAAACTTGATAAACGACCGGTTAATGTATTTCTGATAGTACACAACGTTTCGCATTTAACACGAATGCTTCATCAGGCAAAGTGAATTACCTAAACATTGGCATTTTATAGCGATCATGTCTAAACTACATACAAAGACGACTCAATTTGCATTTCATCTATGAATGATTACAGCGGTCAATGGTCAATATGTCCGCGGGTACAGTGTAGCTTGTTTCATTCAGGGTCAAGTGGAGGAAAGAAATTGCCGGACCGTAGAAAATTACAATGTGGTTAACAACCTTCACTGAACCGTTGCAGGGAACTTGGACACCGATAGAATTTGGCTTTAGTACTTCGGAGTTTGGTGGAGGGTGGGTCGATAGTTCATTCCGACTTGGGATCCATCCACCGATGCTTACCAAGCTGGCCGGAGTAAGACTGGAAGCTAGGCACTTGACAGTCCTACTCCGTCTATTCTATTCAGCAGTTGTTAGCCTTGGTTATTTCTATAGCCTCAGCAATTAGCCTTTGTTTGGCTGATCGTAATCCCTTCCTGATTACCTCCACATTTTCGAAGTCAATTTTATGCCCTGTGTCTAGCGCATGCATTGCTATTGCTGAATCTCTGAGTAGAGCTCCATACTGCATCTCATTTCGCGGAGGTCGTGATATGTGTCGCCTATGTTCTGAAATCCTTGTACGTAATTCCCTCGCCGTTTGGCCTATATACACTTGTGTACAATCTTTACATGGAATTTTGTAAATACAGTTAGTTGTTCTATCTAAAGGGAGTGTATCCTTCAGGTGCACAAGTGTAGACCGTAGCGTCCGACCCTTCTGGAAAACTACCCTTATCTTCTCCTTATTCTATACTCTCCGAATCGCTTCCGAAGTTCATTCTTTATACGGAATACCCACTGTCGCTATCCACTCTGCGGTTGGAGTTGCGCGTGGGTTGAGACATTTCTGTAGCTGTCGTTTCACCAATCGTTTCGGATATCCGCCAGCTATTAAGTTTTTCATCGCTTCCCTCTGCGCTACTTTCTTATCTTCTTCTTCCGTGCACAGAGCACTTGCTCTGTGAAATAGTGATGTGGCGATTCCCGCGTACAGTGCTTTGGGTGGCTTGAACTATGGCTGAGTACCCCATCTGTGTCCATTGTTTTGCGATACATCGTTGTTTTTAACGTTCCTTCCTTCCTATGTACCAGACAATCAAGGAACGGAAGTGTACCGCTCTGCGACTCAAGTTCCATGGTGAACTTTATCGCATTGTCAATAGAGTTCAAATAGTTTAAAAATTCTTCTTTTTTATCCCTTTTATAATCGCAAAAGTGTCTTCCACGTAGCGCCACCATACTTTCTGGGCACCACGGAAATTGGGTAATGCTTTCTATTCAAGCGCTTCCACGTACATTTTGGCAAATACGGGGATATTGGTGATCCCATGGCCAGGCTTTGTTCTTGAGTGTACATTCTAGACTGGAATGTGAAATGAATCTTGTCAAGACACAAAGCTATCCCCTCGACCAGTTGAACCACTGTCAGCTTTGTTCTGTCCTCCTAGCTGCTGTCCCCTCTCAAGCAGTTTTTCGCTAATCGTAACGCCTCCTCCTTGGATACATTCGTGAACAAGGAGGTAACATCGAAGCTGACCATCAATTCGTCTTGTTCGATGCTCACCCCTCGCACCGTTTGTGCAAACTCATAAGAGTATTTTACAAACGTGTTCGTTCTCCCTTTTATGGGTTGCAGCAGGCACGCTAAATATCGCGCGAATTCATGTGGGGGAGAGCCTATGCCATCCACTATAGGTTGCAAGGGGACCTTGGGCTTGTGTATCCACGGAAGACCGTAAATTTTAGGTGGAATAGCCGACTTCGGATAAATGCTGTACCATTTGCCCTTTCCTAAACTGTCCTTCACGGTCCTTTAGTAACTAGCGACATCTGATTTCTTCTTATTCATTACCGATGTAATGGATTTCCGCTCAACCTCTTTGTATGGTCCCGTGGTCAAATGCTCCTTCATGTTATCTAAATAATCTGTTTTATTCATTACCACTGTCACTTTACCTTTATCCGCTCTTGTAATGACAATACTACTATCCTCTTTCAGGGTCTTTAACGCTAATTGTTCAGCTGGAGCAAGATTCGATTCTACCGGCTGTTGAAATCTAATTATATTTGCTAATTGGGCGCGGATGTTATCCGCCTTTTCAAATGATAACCTAGTCATAACGGGTTCGTAACCCCAAATGGTGCGAGGGGTGAGCATCGAACATGACGAATTGATGGTCAGCTTCGATGTTACCTCCTTGTTCACGAATGTATCCAAGGAATAGGCGTTACGATTAGCGAAAAGCTGCTTGAGAGGGGACAGCAGCTAGGAGGACAGAACAAAGCTGACAGTGGATCAACTGTTCGAGGGGATAGCTTTGTGTCTTGACATGATTCATTTCACATTCCAGTCTAGAATGTACACTCAAGAACAGGGTCTGGCCATGGGATCTCCAATATCCCCGTATTTGCCAAAATGTACGTGGAAGCGTTTGAATAGAAAGCATTACCCAATTTCCGTGGTGCCCTGAAATAAACAATGAACAATGAATTTATACGAGTTAAGAAGCGTTGCTTTACAAGCCCCGTTGGATATTTGGTGGGGATATCAACATAATAATTATGATAAAAAGGAGAGTAAAATAGTTAACACTTTAAATACGAAAATAAGGACTTAACTTTTGCTTCGCTGCAGTCCTGCGATCCACTTAGATTCACAACACTCACAGTTAACAACAAATAATTCCAGGGTAAACTCCAGGTGTAGGATGGAGACGTAGTGTTAAGTAACAAAGTGTAAGTGGATGAGTGCGTCGTCCAACCGCCTTTTAAATATTGTTAGTGTCGGTGCAGAGATGACCGATTCTGGGAGAGCATTCCACGGGTGACAGACACGGATTGAAAAGAAATTTCTGCGGCACTCCAGACGACTGTATTGTTCTGCGAGTGTTAATGAGTGGCCCCTCAGGTTTGTATTGCTGCTGAGTTGCAGTAAAGGGCGGCACACATGATGTGGGTCTGGCAGAATCAAGTATGTCATAATCAGGTCGCCTCGTAGCCTGCGATGGCTTCCACTGAACAATCCTAGTCGTCGCAGCCTCTCCTGGTAGGACAGATTGCGCCTTCCAATTACGTTCTTAGATGCCCGGCGTTGAGGCTGCTCCAGTGCATTAAGGTCGTGTTTCAGCCATGGATGCCAGGCTTGAATTGCGTATTCGACATGGGGGCGAACATACGTACTGAGCATTTGTCGAAATATGGAGCTGTTTATTTGTCCAAACGCCCGCCTCAACAGCCCAACGTGTTGGTTCCCGGTCATCGAGGCCTTTTCGGATTGCCTGGAGCAACCCAAGTCATCTTGAACCAGGACACCCAAGTCACGTTCGAGAGTTGATTGTTGCAGTACATCCGTTCCGAGTCGGTATGAGTAGCTGCTTTGATGTCGGATGGAAAGCACCTTGCATTTACTGACGTTGAAATGCAATAGGTTTTGGATCGACCATTGATACACTGTATCTAAGTCACTTTGGAGCACATGTTGGTCGGCGTTCTCCTGGATCCTGCGCCAGATCTTGCTATCGTCGGCAAACATTAGGAAGTTTGAAGTGATTCCCTGTGCAAGGTCATTACTAAACACCAGAAACAAACGCGGACCTAGAACTGAGCCTTGCGGCACACCACACTCCACTTGTATGGGTCCGATAAAGAGCTCCGAACTCTGACCACTAATTGCCTTTGAAGTAGAAAGTTGGCGATCCAGCTTAAAAGTGGGTCTCCGATCCCGTAATGCTGCAGCTTGGATAGAAGTATCCGATGGTCTAGACGATCGAAGGCCTTGGAAAAATCCAGGTAGATCACATCAACACCTTCTCCAGCGTCGGCTGCCCCGGTCCAACTACTGCGTGCAATGAGTAAATTAGTTGCACATGACCGCTGTCGACGGAAACCGTGCTGTTCAGGAGTGATGACGTTACAGGTTTCCAGCTAGCACACCAGTGCATCGGCAACTATGGACTCCATGACCTTGGAGAGTATAAGAATAAGGGTTACTGGGCGGTAGTTGGGGGATCAAATCTGCTTCCACTTTTGTGAATCGGGCTTATTATTCCAAGCTCCCACATGGCGGGAACTTGGTTTCGGTCTAAGCAGTGCTGAAAAAACTGAGCTAAATCTCCTGCCAGTTGGTTTGCTGCTACTCCCAATGCCTCAGGACGAACGGCGTCGACACCCGGCGAGCTATGTTTGCGTAGAGAAGTCAGCTTTTGCAATACAGCCTCTGCAGTAAAATTGATGTGGGTTAGTTGGGGTGAGCAGAATACAAAGCCTGGTAGATCGCTTG